CCAGTCAGAGCTGAAGAAGCTTCTTGGATGAGAAGCAAAACATTTTCAAAGAAAAAACAGAAAGTTCAGTTGCCTCTTGAAAAAACACCTTTGGGACAACCATGACCTGGATGACTGAGAATCTCCATAGACACATGGCAACATGGGAAAATATTCACTGAAAAAACCAGGTCAGTTCACATACCTTTATACATCTGTGTTACATAATTGTTTTATGTTTCATGGGGTGTTTATTCATCTCTTGAGTTCTATTAAGGGGACTAATGAGGAACAAACACATGTAGAGCAGACTAGAATCTAAAAATTTCACTTGTGCAAAGAAATGCCCAGATCTTTATTTTCTTATTGTTATGATTTATTATAATTATTGTCTTTTAAGTTATTACCATCACATTATATCAGGAGCCTCCAAACCTGGCAACTTTAAGACTTGTGGGCTTTAACTCCCAGAATTCTCCAGCCAGCAATACTTTTAAAAATAAGAATTCTAATAGTATTTTAAGCGCAGTTTAATTTCATTAAACTGAAATTAATCTTTTTTAATAGCTGACTTGCAGCAAAGGATACAAATTATGACAATTGATTAGAATCCTGATTCAACTCTTACTTTAGATTCTTTTTTTATTATCGATAATTTAGCTTTATTATACCAATAATGTATTATGACAGTTCAGTGTTTCTGGGCTTAGAATTTTAAACCTTAAAAACTTTTTACTGTATGGGGATATAGGAGCAGTTATAGAGCTAGATATGGTGAAATTAGCTGTAGTTTTCTCTATTATGACATTGATGATAGCTATCAATTTATATAGTTTGAAAAAGCTGTTTATTATTGCCTAAATTATGGGCAGCATATGTTAAATGTCAGTTGCTGGAGAGCAACATTAGGTGAAGAATGTTACTTTCTTGTCCATATGATAAATGTCTTATATGTGAAATAGAATTCTAGCTTAAATAAACATTTGGTCTTATCCAGCTCTCAACAGTAAATCACATATATAATACTTAAAAAGTGAGCTATAGCCTACAACTATTCAACTTTTGGGGGATACATCCCCAAAATTTGTTCTGTTGGAGTGTAGATATTATTTGAGTTTTACAACTGGCATTCTGGTCATGTTTGGATTTGGGTTTTTTTTCCCCCCTGCATGAAATAGTAATAGCACTATTGTTACTATTAATTTTCCTTATCATGTGTCTGTATGAGCAGGAGAAATGAGAGATATATTGTGTTTTTATGAGTGCTGTCACTCATAAAAACACAATTTAAATGACATCATGGGAAAGGAAGGATACGATATGATGGCATCAGATGGTGGAAGGTGGGAGCTGCATGTTACGATAGGTAAGGAGAGAGCAAAAGAACATTTTAGTTATCGTAATCAAATTCAAGTCTCCAAAACAACATGAATTGTAATTTAAAGTACTGAAGAAAAGAGCAGAGATTATTGTAGAACTGCCAACTGTACACATTAAGAAATTCTGGAGAACGGCTAGATCTCAGAAGACTGAAGGAAAGGAAAGACTGAATCTGTTTTCAAAAAAAGGACTCTGTGAAGTACAGTTCTTTTAATTTGATGTCTATACTGCGCAAAGTCCTCAAGCAGATAATAATTAAATAATATATTTGTAAGCACTTGGATAGGAATGCAACAGTTCACAAGACCCATCATGGGCTTGTCACAAACAAGCCAGGCCACATTAGTTTTAATTTCTTTTTTGACAGAGCTGTTCGCATAATGGATCAGGGGAATATCATGGACATAATATATTCAGACTTCAGCAAAGCATTCAACAAAGTATTTCATGATGTGGTACCGGTCATTGCATATCATACTGAGGAGGGAATTGTTGTGGGTCCGCCCTCTGAGCCTATCTCATCGGAGGAAGAAAGCTCCGAACATGAGGAAGACGAGTCAGCCAGGCCTCCCTCTCCAGGCCCCTCCCCTCTGGCACTGTCTCAGGTGCCGGCCGAGGGAGAGGAGATTAGCCAGGAGCCAGGTGTCTTGGATGAGAGCGAAGGAGAGCCATCATTCCTGCATGCACGCCAACGAAGGCGTGATAAACGGTTGCAGCAGTTAAGGAGGCGTGCTAGGGATTAGAACTGAGTCACTGGACCACACCCCAGAGAGAGGGTGGTGGCTGGTAAAACTCCGTGATGAACAAAAACTAACTTTGGCTAGTCACTTGAACAACGTCTGAAGCTGCCGAAAGGGATATTGTTTTGCTGGACTATTTGCAATGCGTATGTTATGTTATCTGTTGCAGTAAAAGCTCTTGGCAGACGGTGATTATATTGCTGCCAAGTTTGAGATAACGACCTGTGTGCGTGCCAAGTACTTTCTTAACCCTCAGCTGGCTGTGTTTGTGTGTGTGTGTGGACGGGGACAGATCAGGAATGGATTTGTTCTCTGTGGCCCCAGAGGACAGAATCTGAACAAGTGTGTTGAAACAACTGGAAAATAATTTCAGGCTTGATATTAGAAGGAATTTCTTGATGGTTCAAACTATCAATTAGTGGGGGGGAAATTGCCTCATGAAGTGAGGCCATTCATTTCATTTGTCTGAAATGCTTAAAGGATCCCGTGCTGAGCAAGGGGTATGATTAGATGACCTCTTCCACTTCTAGATTTCAGGAGCAGCATTTTTCCTTCAAATTATTATTATTATATGGGTAATCTACAATTAAATTAATTGTTCCCCTTATATACTCTACCTTCATCTTTGTTGTTTTCAAGAGTTTTCCATAATTAATTAATTAATTTCCTTAGTTTAATTAATTAAAGAGAACAATTAAAACTTGGACCACATGTTTTCTGAATAGTTTTTATCCAAGAGCTATAATTGCACTCAACAATGAACTAAAGAGCCACCATCAGTGAGCTGTTGGACAGTATTACTTGGTCTGTTGTGTGGGGTGGGGAATTTGTGGTGTGTGGGAGTGTGTTTGGGGATTGTTATGTGTGTTGGACCTGGTCTTTGGGTATTAAATGAATTTCATTGTATGGGTCTACTGTGTATACACGTATAATGACAATAAAGTTATTACTATTATTCTTATGATTATAATGATGATGATGATGATGATGATTAATTGACTTTCTTCAGCAAAGATTCTTGGCTTTTCTTAATGTAATCATTCAAACCATGCTTTTTTTCCTACCACATCAGTAGAAGTCCTCTATCCCTTAAGCTCTGGGCAAACATAGCCAATCTATATGATTTTTGGTTGCAAAGCATAGTGTCTGTTCATTTGGATTTTAAGTTATTATTATTATATCTGTTCACAACAATGTGAAATCACAGCTGCCAGTTCTTTAGCTGGTGTGGCTTTCATATGCATCACATTCTTCCCAAGAATCTAGAATGTCACAATGTATCAGTTTAATATATGTGTGGATCCCAATAATGTGATCTTTGCAATTGATACATGGGAATTTTGTCAATGAGCAGATTTTCTAAGAGGTTGCCAAGATTTTTTGACATTGCACCCTATGTGGGACCAAGATAGTCACTGTATGCCATAATCTTTCCATTTCGATTTTCAGATCTTGATACTTTGTGATCTTCTTCAATTTTTTATCTTCAATTCTACTATCCTCTAGTATTGCCATATCAATTATCTATTCAACCACAGTTACATCTGGTGCATTGTGAGCCAAGACAATACTACAATATTTTAACCTGTCCTTTTTTTCCTATTTCTTCAAGTCTATGTTCCCACTATTTTTTCAATACTGATACATAATCATTTTCCAGTGAATCATTTTGGCAACTGTGCTATGTTGTTGTTTTGATCTTGCATGAGCTGAGTATATGATCTAGTATTTCTTCTGCTTCTTTGCACAATTTGCTCTAAAAATCATTTGCTCTAAAAATCATTTGCTGATTTTTCAGTACTGGCTTTGATTGCATTAATTCAAATAGCTTGCTGTGAACAGCTAAAATCAAGCCCTCAATTTCTTTTTTTAAATGTTCCATTTGTAAGTCATGGCCAGGTTTTATTTTTATGCCACCTTCCCCTCAATCTTTTGTAGAAATTGACTATGTAATGTGTTTCCTTGCCAGCATTCTGTTCATGCTTTTATTACATTATTTCAATATTCACTTTTTGTTTCCTATACATTGTTAAGTTCCAGTTTTTAACTTGCAGCAATGTTTGTTCTTTTATATAATCAGGCTAATGCATGCTTTTCTTCTTTGACAGCTTATTTGACCTGAAGTAAACCTCTGCCTCCATTTTATTATTATGTATTCGAATTGGTGCTGACTCCTGGTCATTGTCTGGATTAGTCCCTGGCTGTTTTCTTGGGAAGCTTTTTCAGAAGGGGTTTGCCATTGCTTCCTTCTTAGGGCAGGACTAGTACTTACAGACTCACAGTGTCTAGCCTGATGCCTGAATCACTACAGCAAATTGGGTCTCTTCAAATTATTAACTACCAGTAGCTAAACAAAATATTTAAGGAGGTGCTTCATAGCATGATTGATGAATTTCTCTTCAAATAGTTAAAGTAGCCTCATCATTGGAAGACTTGAAACAACTACAGCTTGCTGTTGCAATTCACAGTTTATCCCCTTATTTATTTATTTATTTATTTATTTATTTATTTATTTATTTATTTATTTGGCTTATATGCCGCCCTATCTCACAATGGACTCAGGGCGGCTCATAACAATAAAACACAAGCCACAATAAAAATAAAGACTAAAATCTAAAAAATTTAAAATTAACCCATTAAAACCCTTAAAACCCCATCATCAGACCAGGTCAAGCATGTAGAAACAGCTATTTTGCTTTACTTTCTGCAAAGGATGGTTGCTTTAATAATTCAAAGAGAGGTGATTGATTTGTGCTTGTATGCATTGTAAAGCACCCCTTTTAAATATTCTACACTGTCTATCTGTCTGTACTATTTAAACCTTCTGAATGAACTGTCTATAGAAAAATGGCACTTATTGCTTCTTCTCTGATGTGGATTTCTTGGTGCTGATCTCCTCAGGTTTGGTTTCAGAACCGAAGAGCAAAATGGAGAAAACGAGAACGATTTGGTCAAATGCAACAGGTTCGCACACATTTCTCCACTGCCTATGAGTTGCCTTTGTTAACCCGAGCAGAGAATTATGCCCAGGTAAGTGCTTTTCATCAACACACCTGTCGTGAACCTCTGATAGTTTTATCAGAGGTTCTGTTGTAAACCAAATGAGGTTTTGCTAGGTGAAATGAAAGTTTAAGGTTCAAGAAATGAACACTTTAACCTTTTCCATTTTAACAGTAATTTGTTTATTTATTATTTATTACATTTGTTTGCCACCCATCTCACCACAAGGACAGTACTCCACAGTAATGGAGAAATGCCGAGGTGATTTGGAGAATATGTAAACCATTTGGAGTCCTCAGCCAATTGATTGATTGATTATGAGCCATCAAGCTGGTGTCAACTCTTAGCAATCATATAGATAGATTTTTTTCCCATAATACCCTAGTCCTTCAGACCTTTCAACAATGCACCCATTGCCACTGCAACTGAGTGCATCCATCTTGCTATTAGTTATCCTCTTATTTTCTTTCCTTTCACTTTTCCCTTCAGTAGAATCTGCTTCAAATAACTAAACCTTGTCATAGTATGTCCAAAATATGATAATTTGATTCTGGTCTTTTGTGCCTTGAATGATAAGAGCCATTGTTGCATAGTGCTTAGAATGAGGTATTGCAGGCTAACTCTGCTGACTGTCAGCAGTTTGATTCAGACTGGCTCAAGGTTGACTCAATCTTCCATCCTTCTGAAGCCGGAAAATGAGCACCTGGATTGTTGGGGGCAATATGCTGGCTCTGTAAAGTGTTTAGAGAGTGCCGTAAAGCACTATGAAGAGGTATATAAGTCTAAGTGCTATTGCTATAACACTTGGTTGATTTGTTATATGATCCATTTGTTTGTTTTCTTGTCTGCCTAAATCCATAACTTTGACAGAATTCAATCATATGATCCAATTATACCATTTATCTTATCATGTAACCATTAGCACATCTTGATGAACTACTTAAGCAAAGAAAAAAAGGCAGACTGTACCATGAAAATACATCATGGTATATCTACAAGCACCATACACACTCTATTTTCTGGCTGCCAATATTGTGTCCCAGTTTTGTGGAAGGTAGGGTGAAGAGTCTTTCTTAGAAGCTTACCACAGACTCTATAATGGCAATGTCCATAATATGGCATAAATCCTTCAGTAGCAATCCTTCTGCTGTGTGGGGCCTGGAACATTCATTGGAATGTTTAGCAACACAAGAAGTTCTTTGCAGATAAATTAACTTTAAAAGTCTCTGAATACAGATTCCGAACTTTTTAAAAGTAGTACAGACCTGTCAGTTTAGCAATCGTTGACTTCAAAAGAGTTATTTAAGGCAGGTCATTATACATGAAAGACCTTTAGTTTTCAGACAGAGAATACTTTAGGTAACATTTTTGGGTAGCTTTTCCCTTCTTCTGTCTCTTTCATATCTTGGTTTTATCTAATACTTAAGCTGCTTACATACATGTCTATAAATAAAATAAAATTGGATAGGTTTTTTTCTGAACTATTTTTTAAAACAGCATATTTTAATAAAGACAACGGAAAGCTGGAGTTCCATTATTTTTTCCCCCATGACGATTCTAACTAAGATTGCATCCAAATTATTATCATAATTTCTCCCCACCACCACCACCACCACCAAAAAAAAGCTGGTCTCTCTGCAAATTTCACAAATGCTTTCTTTCAATTCCCAGAGTTTAAACTCACAAATACAGTATGTATTTCCTAATAGCCCACACAATGTCCCTCCTCACCTCCAACCCAAAAGCCCTTAACTTTTTAAACTTTTCCTTAATAAATTAAACTTAATATTCTGATCCTTTTAGTTGTTGTTTTTTTTTGAAATCTTCTCAAGCTGTGTAATATTATCCTGTTTGAGATGAAAACAGCTAAAGTTATACTTATGGTTATCATATTTTCCTGGAAAAAAAATAAATGGTAAATTTAAAAAGTGGGGGGGATGAAAAAGGATGAAAAACATGTTTATGTTAAATTTTGCTTTACAAACAAAAAAGACCAAAAAAACCCACCCTATTCAAAAAGCATATTCCAATAAAAAATATCTAAAAAGCATAAGAATCTCTGGAATTATAAGAAGCAGGTGTTAAGAAAGATTTCTGCAATCAGACTATGCATTAAGTGGTACAATTTGCATGGTAAAAATTAAATGACCAAAAATAAAAGCCAGAACTGAGTTTTTGAAAAATAAAGCTGAATGACAGCTTTCTGATATAAAGGACATATGGTCACTATAGTTCTACTTCATATTGTAAAAGAATCGAATGTGTGTATATATGTGTATATGTATGTGCATATGTATGTGTATATGTGAATATATATGTGTGTGTATGTGTATACTGATATATATAAACACACACACACACACACACACATCAGGATTCTTGCCATTTTATGGATCGTATTTTGATCACCTTTGTGTTTTACCCTATTGCTCTCACAATAGCTACCACTTATCTGTAGCCTGCCAGAAGGAAAGGTCAGAGCAGAGCCAAAGCAAATGATGATGAAAGGCTGAGAAAGGCAGGCCTGTTAGAAAACTGTGTTTTCCTACTTTCCATCTGGATCCTCTCCTCTTGCTTGCTTTCATCTTATGCTCTTCTCATCTTCACACCTCCTTCTCTGCCTTTCCTTCCTCCCTTTGGGCATGCCTGAATCTGGACTTCCCCAATCCTTAGTTACTGTAAGAAAATTTCCCTTTCATATCCTTTTTAAAAAAAGGTGTAGTAGGGGCAAAGGAGTGCTGGAGTAGGAATTTCATGATAATTTCTAAAGGATCACTTAGCCTTTGCTATTCTTTTGCAGCAAAAACAACAAAGAGTTTTGTGACCTGGCCTATATATGCATGAGTGCGTAAGATATTGTGGATCATATTCCACTTCCTCAGATTGATGGCGGGGCAGGAAGAACAGAAGGAAAAGAAATAAGAATGATGAACTCTAACCTCCCCAAACAACACTTGTATGCATTTATAAATACAGTACTCTTTTGTCAAAAATATACTCCATGCTTCTAGAAAGGTGGAATCTCAAATCTCTTCTTCCATAAGCCCTCAAGGTCAACATACGCTGTCTCTATCCATACTCTAACCACCCAGAGTCAGTTAGGTGAGATGGGTGGTGAAAAAAGTGTAATAAATAGAATAAATAAATAAAATAAAATTTCCTTCTTGTTTTGGAGGTAGCAGCTCAGTGGTTTTCACTGCCACTACTTACAGTATCTTCCACCACGGAGTCTCTCACCAGGTGCCTCCTCCTAACCTTGGTTTATAAGAAAGGGAGATCTTTGTGCTATCTTTCAAGTAATAAAATGGTAAAATTTGAGTTTGGGTGGAGGATGAGGAAGTGGCCCTCCCTTCCTTGGGAAACAAGCCACTTTCAGAAGAGAGAAATGAAATCAGGCTTTATTGTAAATATATATATATATATATATATTTAAAAATAAATTTAAATAATAGTTTAAAATATGAAATCTCCCCTTTAATTTTAAATACTCACAAGGCACACATCCAATAGCGAAGGAGATGAAGTACAGCACTGTTCAGGTTGTAGGAAAACAGCAGATTGATATAAAAATGAAAAACCACAAAAGTGTACTGCATCCAGCAGATCATAAGAAACAACTGGTCCGCTGCAAATAGGATTTCTCTGTCCAAAGTCTCAGCAAAGAGATTGGAAGATTCCATTCACTTATTTATTTCCAAATGTGTATGGCTGCCTAATTCTATGACAACTCTGGGTGGCATGAACTATTAAAACATCCTGAAATAATAAAGAACAGAAAGAAGAGCCAAACGCCCAGGAAGAGTAAAACAAACACACCCCTCAATCAAAAACATACCACAAGGGACGTATTATTGTTTCTGTTGTTGTTTTTATCATCATCATTACAAGAAAGGTTTTAAAGATTTTTTTTTTAAAAAAAAAATACATTTTCTGGAACATACCTGAAATATAATTCAGAACAGAATCCCTTACTTTGTACAGAAACGTAAAAGCAGAGAAAACTGGTTTAGCCCAAGTGCAATCAAACAGAAATGAAAGACATATCGCATTTCTCTAGTCATTTACCTATTTCTTCCAACTGAAATGAAAGAATCCTGTATCCTTCCCATATTTCTCTTTTTCCTGAAAATTCCAGACTTGGCCCCATGTTTTCCCCGGTTCCGTTCCCATCTTCTCCTTCAGTTTCCTCCATAGGAAACCTTTGTTTTTTAAAAAATTCACATTTTCTATGCTTGGAATGAGGGAGGAACTGGGGTATCTTTCTGGGTCTACCTGGGGAAAAAAAGTATTCTTATGAAAGTATGTACTTTGTGTCTGAGCAAATGCAACACGTGGCTTTGGAACACAGTGATGGTCATAAATGCAAGGACTGGTCCCATAGCTGTTTTTTTTTTTACACCATCATAAATTTGGATAGTCACGAAATAAGGCAGTCTGAAAGTGAGGACTATTTCACACAAGACCCTCCCAACCATGCTATGGCATTGACTAATCCACATTTGGTCATTTACATATTTCTGAACAAGTGGAAAATCCCAACAACATCCCGTTTACCTTTGCATGGATATCTAATAGTAGCATTTCCATAGCAACCCACTGTAGCGCTTGTCCTGCTACCTATGGCAGCTTTTTCACAGTGAACTTTGTTGTGCACCCAAACTGCACATTTGCATCTGGGTAAGCATAGTGGTGTTTGCTTATTTGGTTGGTGATGTTGCAACTTAAACTACAATGAGGTTTGTTTGGCTAAGCCTCTTTATTAGGACTAAATTTCCCCATGACAAGCAATAGCACTTAGACTTATATACCGCTTTACAGCATTCTCTGAGTGGTTTACAAATGTCAGTAAATTTCCCCCAACAATCTGAGTCCTCATTTCACCAACCTTGGAAGAATGGAAGGTTGAGCCCGTCAGGATCAAACTCCAGGCTGTGGGCAGAGTCAGCCTGCAATATTGAACCACTGTACCACCACAGCAATTATATCCACCCATTTCCTTTAAGTTCATCCATCTCTTATACCTCCAGCACTAAAAAAAAAAATACTTACATGCTTCTTTTATTCATCATCATCATCATTTTAGCCATTGCCTCTCCACTGCAGGATGAAGGTCTCTTCCGCATGTTTCCAACCCAGATGGTTCTGAGCTTTCTTTTGCCAGTTGGGCCTGCTATACTTGCTTCTTTTATTCTATACAGGGTTAGCTTGACTGGGGAAAAAAGAGATACCGTGTTTCCCCGAAATTAAGACCCTGTCTTATATTTTTTTTTTGAACCCTCAAATAAGTGCTTGGCCTTATTGCCATGAGCTCAAAAGCCCGATTGGGCTTATTATCAGGGGATGTCTTATTTTGGGGGAAACAGTTTATATTATGCACAATCTGTCCACACCTTTAGAAAAGTCCTGCTCTTGAATTTTTCAGCACGGAATGAGCCAAGGTGAACTAATTTTACTTTCCTTTTTTTCTTTCTTTCGTTCCTTTCCTCCCTCATCTCCCCCCACCCCCCGCATCCCAGATACAGAATCCTTCCTGGATCGGCAACAACGGTGCCGCCTCCCCTGTGCCTGCCTGCGTAGTGCCCTGTGACTCGGTGCCTTCCTGCATGTCTCCCCATGCTCATCCCCACACCACCGGAGGAGTCTCTGAATTCCTGAGTGTCTCCGGTCCGGGCAGCCACGTGGGGCAAACGCACATGGGCAGCCTCTTTGGCAGCGCTGGCATCAGCCCCAGCATCAATGGCTATGAGTTGAACGGCGAGCCGGACCGCAAGTCTTCCAGCATTGCAGCCCTGCGGATGAAAGCCAAGGAGCACAGTGCTGCCATATCGTGGGCAACATGACAGGGCTGCTGCTTTTGCCCTCGAGAAACGGACAGCTCAAGCAGGACAGATGACCCAAATCCTCCGCTCTTGGACTGGGGGCAGTGTGCGCCCTCCTCAGAGGTCTGAATGCAGCACTTTTCGCTTCCTTAGGGAGAATGGCATGGTGCCGATTGCCGTATTTGGAGTGTTTTAAGCATGTAGGCCTTTCCCCACCACCACCACCTCTCTTCCCAGGAAAGGAATGTGGAAGTCAAGAGGGGATATTTCTCCTGCATCAGACAACTTGAGTTTTCTATTCCCCTTATGCTGTTGTTCTCCTGATTGCCAGTTTGCCATTGTTCTTGCTCTATTTAGCATGAAAGCTGCCTCCCACCAAGGCTTCCATCATGCGATCGTTGGCCTTTTCCACAGAAATATCGGGGTGGGGATGAGGGAGGATTCCAAAGTGTGCCGTCTTTCTTTTTAAATAGTCCTGTATTTTCTCATGACATCCTCCCTCCCTTCTCCCCTCCCCCCTTCACATTTTTGACTACAGAAAGTCTATTAAAGTGAAGGTTGTGGTGGGGGGAGAAATAGCTACACAGGGTTCCTTGATTGGTAGCATTAGGAGCCCTCCATCTGGAAGTTCATCTGATTTCTTTCTCTCTCGCTCGCTCTCTTTTTGTCAAACAAACAAGAAAACAAAGGCCAACCCACAATTTCTGGCTAATTGCTCCCATGTGAGCTCTTTTGAAACCCTCATATTTTAATGGAACAGAAGGGGTTTATATATGATCTCTAGCACCAAAAGGCATGTGGTTGCTATCACTGTAGATGGCTGGTGCCAAAGTCTGAGGAGACGGAGTGCATTTTGATTGGGGTACCCTATACCAAAGTTGCCATACTGCAACAGGAAACGTGTCCACACCTTATCTTCCACGTGAATTGTGTGTGTTGCTGAGTTGCTTTATGTCATTTTTCTTTTATCCTGACGTTTTCCTCCCTTCAATCTCCTGCAGTGCAATAATGCATAGCCAAGGGATGCAATAATGAAGGCTTGAGTCAACTGTGGGTTCAATGAAAGGCACTCTAAGAATATACTGTCCCTAAACAGAAATGTGGGGGGCAGGGCGATGACTCAGTGGTTAAAGACGTTGAGCTTGTCAGATAGAAAGCTGACAGCCTGGATTCAGAGTGCCACACGATGGGGTGAGCTGAGCTCCCATTATGTGCCCCAATTCTTGGCCACCGAACAGTTTGAAAGCATGCAAATGCAAGTAGATAAATAGGTACCGTTTCAGTGGAAAGGTAACAGCATTCCGTGCACCTCAGCTAGTGGTGGGTTGCCCCCGGTTCGGACTGGTTTGCAAGAACTGGTAGTAAAACCAGTGGGAGGCTCCACCCACTGACCCCAACATCATCAGGAAGCTTCTGCGCATGTGTAGAAGCTTCTGAGCATGCGCACGCGCGGTCCCATTGCAAACTGGTAGTAAAGATAAATAGAACCCACCCCTAGCCTCAGCGTATAGTCATGCTGGCCACAGAGGTGTTTTTAGACTGTTCTGGCTCCCTTGATCTAAGAAACAGAGGTGAGCACCGTTTCCTAGACATACCTGGACAGAGGAAACCTTTACCTTTAAGCAGAAATTACAAAAAGAGACGTACATCACCATAGGGCCACTTTGTAATCATAACCCCATGAACTGATTCTGACAGCAAGCCGAGGACTCCCAGGCTGTGTAAACCAAATCAACCTTTTTTATATGCTACCTAATGTTTGAAACACTCTGACTCTGGTACCCCATCCCCATCACACCAATGCATTTATTGCAACATCAGTAAAACCAGTTGTGGAAATTAATTAATAATTAATTAATTAAGTATCCATAAATTAAGGGTTGCCTGATGTTTGGTTTCAATGATGAACACAACAGGGAGAAAATCTGTGGGCAATAAAGGAAAACGTCTCCTAATTTTTCACATCGGCCTGCTCTTGCAGTTAAACTCAGTTCTGAAAGAAGACCAATTTATAGGATTTACTATTTTAGATTGATATTTGACATGCAAACTTTGGAATAATAACTAAAGAGTTTGATGGTTCCAAATAAATTGTCTGCCCACTGCCATGAGCAATGCACCCACTTCAAATATTGCCTTTCTGCTGTCGCTATCAAGTTGTTCTTTCTTCAACTCCGGTTCCTCTCCACTCAGTGGAAGTAACTCAAAGGCCTATCTTGAAGAAATAAAGCAAGAGGGTTGTTTTCCCCCTCTTAGTTGGAAATTCTTTTTTTTCCAGCCCAAAGCGAAGTAGCAGACACAGGCCTGCCTCATGTTGTTCCCATTCATCAGGATAATCACATTTTCCCAATTTCCATATGTTTGCCCTCTTTAAAAAAGGATCAAAGAGGATTTAGGTCCAGCCAAGCTGAGATTCTGTTCAAAAAGCTGAAACGGTGCTTGGGTTTTGCGGTTTCTCCAACAGGCATTCACATCCACTAGAGGAGAGAAACTGAATGCTTAAAGCTGTCTTAACTGGCTTTTAAGGAGTGTTTGTTGGGTTAGTAACTACTGGGCTTTCCTTTTCCTGGCGAGCGGTTGCTTTGCAGGCTTTGCCATTCAGATAGTGTAGCTTTTAATGGGCTTCAGAGGAAAAGCAAGACTTTCACCATCGTTAGGGCACAAACCAGTGGTGGGCTCCTCCCGGTTCTACCCAGTTCCGCCGAGCCGGTAGCGGTGACGATATGATGTCACTGAACTGGTTCTGTCCCCCCGCCCCCCCCAAGTTATTCTTACCTTTTATTTGGCCCCACCCCCAATCTATTGCTGCCTCCTGAGTCCCAACTGTTCGGCTAGAAGGAAAAAAACTGTTTAAACTCTTGCTGCGGGGCTTCAAAGGGCCGCCCTACAGCTGATCAGTGTTAAAAGGCAGTGTGGTGGTAGACTGGTGCCTCCAAAAACAAATGAGTAGACCGGTGCCTGCAAAAATAATTGGGTAGACCAGTGCCTCCAAAAACAAATGAGTAGACCGATGCCTGCAAAAATAAATGGGTAGACTGGTACAGTTCTGCAAGCAGTTAAAAGCCTGGTAGACCAATACCTCTGCTAAATCCTAAAGAATTGTCACATGACCATCAAGCCACGGCCACAAAATAAGCCACGCCCACAGAACCAGTAGTAAAAAAATTTAGAACCCACCCCTGGCACAAACATAAACCCACCCCGGTGGGGGGGTGTCTGATGTGCATATGGCCATGCTATCATGAATGTGCACCTATAAACCATGCTGGAAAGAGAAACCTGCAGCTGGGGATGCAAATAAAGAAATAGGCATAATATACCAAGTACATAGAATTCCAGAAGGACGAAAAACTCTGTGACAAATCTGAAGAGGGGCAAGAGAGAGGATGCATTCATTTGATAGGAATGGGGTAGAAAAAGCAATGGCACACTTGTGGGTTAGGGAGGCATCTTCTCCTCCTCTCACATGCATTGTTAATCCCAGAACGTTTCTTAGGAGCCCCGGTATTTCTGACCAGCTGTGGGAATAAGACACCTGCCTGTAGCATGCAGAGTAAAAAGGCCTAAACTTTTATGCTTTTAGAGACCCAGGTGCATTTTTCAAGTCAAAACCCACATTTAAAAAATATTTAAAAAAACAAATTAGTCAATACTCTGAAGTTCCATTGGATTCAGTGGGAAGGCAAAACATCGTTAGACTTGTTGCCCCGTAGGGTAAGTATGAAGAAAATGTTGTAAGCTATCAATAGTAGTGCAACCTTCAGAAAGGCATTTCAAGTCCTCATAAAATGAAAGAGCAACCCTTTTATACATGTTGTGCTGTGTTTAAAGACTGTCCCCCCCACAAAAAAACTCCCACCATTCTTTTTTCTTTCTTTTTTTAATCTATGAAGTCAAGATTGAACCATCCCAAGCAGTGATGTCATTACTTTCCATGACTGGAGATCAATGAGCCATCAAATGATTTTAAGGCTATCCATGAGAATCAGACCCTGAACACTCATGAAAGTGATGATGACATGATTGCATAACAGGCATGATGATCCATGCCTAATCATGTTTTTGTGTTCCTGAGTGTGCATTCCTAGGAAAACACATTTGTGTGCATGCTGACTCCAGGTATGTTTATTTTATAACAGCTAGGTTTGCCATCTTTGGAATGAAGGAGAGGATCACTCATAACAGGGAGATGCTAGCTCGCTAGGCCCAAATTTCTTTGTTTCAGCTGGTAAAAAGGACTGGAAGTAGAATCATGCTGCTACTTGAGCTGTTCAGGCTAAATCAGCAGCCCTTAAAACTGCCATTGCAGCTTTTCAAAGCTTTAAAGCAGACAATAATAGTTTTCTTTTACTATCTGTTCATCTCATGTCAATGTTAGTTCCCAAGTGGCTTTGAATGTGAACAATACAAGTGTACATCAACAACATATACTTCAAAAGCAGGGGTAAGATCCAGCAGGTTCCGATAGGTTCTGGAGAACCAGTAGCAGAAATTTTGAGTAGTTTGGAGAACTGGCAAATACCACCTCTGGCTGGCCCCAGAATGGGTGGGAATGGAGATTTTGCACTATCTTTCTCCGGCCATGCCCACCAAACCACGCCCACAGAACCGGTAGTAAAAAAAATTGGATTTCACCACTGTTCAAAAGGTGTTTCAGGATCTCTGTGATGTTCAACCCAATATGATCCGTATGCATCAATTCCTTGAAAAACCAATGATGGAATAGCCCATTATATTAATTCTCCGCCTTCCTCTCAATAATAGGCAGAATTACCTAGGAGTCTTTGCCCTTCACTCCACAACACTGACTGACAGTGAATGATGGACAAAGAAATGATATACATATGAGAAACATGGGAAGAGAGGAGAAATTCAACTTAGGAGTACCTTGTGCGTGTGTGCCCATGATATCAAACATAGCATTTAACTGTATCATAATGTCAGTGAAAACCTTTTGTTGAAATGCCTCCTGAACAAGAGAACTCCATTGATGGCAACAGCACAAGATGTGAGGCTATACGGAATATTGATTGTGAGCACCAGAGGCTTTCTGAATGCTCAACAGCAGCAGCTGGTTTTCAATTGTCAAACTAGGAGGCCAGGAGGTTGGGTAGAGGGAGCAATTAATAAGAAATTTCCTTGGGGAAGAGGAAAGATGGGCCTATCTTACCTTCTATTCCAATGGTAAATGCTGGTAAAGGCAACAAAGCATAGTGGTGTCCAACCTAGCCAACTGTAAGACTTGTGGACTTCAACTTCCAGAATTTTCCAGCTGGCATGGCCTGGCTGGCTGGGGAATTCTGGGAGTTGAAGTCCACGAGTCTTAAAAGTGGCCAAGGTTGGACACCTCTGGGCTAAATGAAGGAGTTAGGGAGGTTTTTTTTCCCTTGCTTTTTTTTTTTTTACAGGGCATTCTTGTATCTGTCTTTTTTTTTTCCTTTCACTCATTTAATGATTTTGCCTTGTCTCAAATCATACCCCAAGGTTTGCAAAATTGCAAAGCATTTTGAAAACAAACAACAGTGAAAAAAGGTAGTTTCCTGGAAAGTGGTTTGAAAAAATAATCAACAAGACACAGCTGCTGAGAACTTTGTTTATTTTGCTGCTTTGACTGACACAGGAAAAAAACAAACATTTGGAGGTTGTTTTTTTTTAAAAAAAAAATCAGCCGAAATGGAAACCTAGATGAAAGCTTTTTCACTGCTTTCAGCTTCGTGGCTGGCATTTCAGGGAAGTCAAGGTGACTTTTTATCCTGCCCCAACTCTTCTTAACAAATTGTGGACGATCCACTATCCAGTCCTCCTTCCGCATAAATAGATAGTGCTAGGACCTTTGTACTACTGATCTTGAAGGGCAGTTTTCAATGTGTAATAATATATCTGTTTTGGGGTGTGCAGTGACTGAAAAGGAGAATGGGAGAAAAAGAAATCATAAGAAAAAAACCTCAGTCAATTGCATCGTTGTAAAATATTGTAACCTTGTATAAGTGCAACTTTTTTTTCCCTTTAGCTTTATGGCCTGAGGCAGAATATATGAAAATATACGTTCAAAAATGTTGACAAGTAAAGCAATGGATTGAGAGGAAAGCCTACAAAATTGCAGTGTGAGGTTGTGCCATACAATTTTACTGCCTATACAGATATGTACTGCAAATTCATTACATTGTAATATTAAAAAAAAAAAAAGAACAGATTGCTTTGTATCTTGTCTTTCTTTCTTGGTTGCTCTTTTTTTTTCCCCCTTTAATTTTTGAGGGAAATAAATCATTGCATGTATCAACTTTTCCTGTCCTGGAGCTGAGGGTGGTAGTGTGAATTTTTTTTAGTGCTGCAAACAAAAATTAAACAGGCAAAAAATTGCTGGAAAAGAATGAACAAACATCTAGAGCGCAGGCAGAGGAGAGCCACATAAATATTATTATTGTTGTCATTCCTAGTTGCAATAAACTGTCTCTTCTCTGCTCTGAACTGAAATCTGTCTATTTTGTGCCTGACTCATGGCAAATGAAATGCGATCAGAGGGGGGCCTCCAAAAGCTCATGTTAATTGAAGTTGGCAAAAAATACTAACAGTGCCCTTTTGAACTGCTGACACAGAGCAGAATGGATTAAACAAGGCTAGATTAACAACAGGTGGCAGCTCCCAGACCTACTGCCTCTAGAGAGTCTTAGCAACCAAGAAGCAATGATGAGAACATCCTAGAGGCAAAGTCTGAGCAGCCAATAAGTGGCTGGAAATTAGACTGCTGGTAAATTAAGGGACGATTTGATCACAAAACTATTTTTTCCAAGTTGTGGCATAGGATTTGGAGGTGGCATTGCTATTCACAAATCAATATTCCAAAACACATGTATCCTTGGAAACAGGTCCAGGCTGGTTTACTTATTCATTTTTACAAGCCAAACTTAGCTTTAGTGACTAAAAATAAGATAGGTGTTTATTCTCAGGACTCATCTATGAAACAATATACAACTAATCACTTTTGACAGTTGTTTTCCATTAGGTTCTCGTCCAGAAGTTGTCATGGGGCCATACCTGCCCGTGCTGTTGAGGCTACTGGTCTGGCTTTGGATAGGGAATGACTTAAAGCATCTTGACTACCTTAGATCCTGAATGCAACGTGGAGACGCATCTTTCGACCGTAGGCAGTTGGATGAAATGTGGTTACCATGTGGGGTGGGGTGGTCCGCCTGTTTAATTTGGGTCAGAGAATTATTCCTTTCCCTGTCTACCAATTGTCTACTAATG